TGACTGTGTGTGTGTGTGTGTGTGTGTGTGTGAATGCCTATGACGCCTCTGTGTGTGACTGCCTGTAACTTTGTGTTTGTGTGTGTGGGACTGTCTACCTGTGACTGTGTGTGACTGTCTGTCTGTGAGTGTGTGTGACTGCGTGACTGAGTGCAAGTGACTGTGTGTCAGACTGTGGAACTTTGTGCATGTTACACAGCAAAAATATACACCTGCATTCACACCTAGACCTACATGCATTTTTTAAAAAATCTAAATTACAATACCCATAACTAATATCACTTACAGTCAATATAAACATATGTCACACACAGTAAATACACCCGTAAAAAAATCTCACATATGGATGTGGAGGCACAGACCAGATTCCCAGTACACTGGACGACCAGAGATCAGCAGGTCCCCATCCCTTCAATGTAACAACAGGAAAGGGGGGATAAATATTGTTTTTTCAGGAGTTTTGTGTAATAATTATTAATTGAATAAAGCCACCTACACAAACATTACATACCTATACACACACTATACATGGATGAGCGGGTGTGACCATGGAGGGGCACTGTGAAGAATTTTCGCACAAGACGCCTAAAGGTCTAAGGCTGGCCCTGATTCCAAGAGTAATTTTCTTGTTAGAAGTAACCTGTCAAAGCATTGTAAGATATTGGGGGACCTTAAACATAGCACCTGAAAGGAGGAACAATGTTACATATACAGGATCCAGTTTTAACACATTATCAGTGCGTAAAGGCATTGACGGTGCATGCTTATAATATGGTACATTGCACTTATACGTATGGTACATCAAATTCCTTAAAATTTCCTTGAATTACATAGCAAATCAAATATCTACAAAAATTAACAACAGAAACTTAAATGTTAGACACAGCATGATAAAAACCCTACAAATGTTTGAGAGCCTCTAACATTTTAGATACTCGTAAACATTCTTGAAAAGTATATAGTGAACAGCTTTGTATGTTTTTTTTCTGTAAACAAAAATTACAGCTTTTGGTATGAAGAAAATAACATTTTCAATAGCTAATCTATCATTTATTTACACTCTAATCTTTACCTGATACCAACAACAAAAAATATGAAAAAGAATGTGTTGTTTTGAAAAGGTTTAGATTTTAATGTTATTCACATATAATGTAAAAAATAAAAAAAATAAAAAAATAAAAACACCAGTTCCAATTCTTTTTATTATAGCAATTGTCAGTATACCATGGGGTGGGGAACCTTTGGCCTCCAGATCTTTTGGACTTTGTTTCCCATAATGCTCTTACATCCATAATGCTGGCAAATCATCAAGGGAGATGTAGTCCACTAAATCTGGAGGGCTAAAGTTTCCCCACCACTGGTATAAACTAAAACAAAATAGACTCACAAGTTATCTATTATAATTTTTTTTAACAAACCATTTATGGCATTCTCTCTTTGCAATTGTTGAAGTATTCAAATTGACATTGTCATTGCTTGGAAATGTAATTTGGAAATGAATGGAGCAATGTCTATGGATGGAATTGAAAAGTCCAGTTTGTGCAAGTAGAGTTGAGCCCCTGGCCAATTCGATAGTATACCTCATGGCAGGGCTGCCATCAGGGGGTGACAACCATGACGGGCTCCACGTGTAGTGGTGGAACTGCCACCGGTGCAGCTACACTGGGGCCCGCAGGCTTATAGGGCCGAATGTGTGTTCCAAGCATTTAGGGCAACCCAATGGGCCCTATATCTTCAGGATATTCACAGCGATGCGGCTGTGTGATAGCACAACCGGGTCCCTTTAGAAAATTGCAGCCAGTCACTGACAACCGGTCACTTCCTCCCAGCTCCCTCCGCGCGGGAGGGAAAGAGACAGGCCACAAGGAGGGGAGAGTCAGCCGACTCCCATCAGCCTCAGCCACCCTCCTGCAAAGGTAAGAAAAATTACCTTTCCAAGTGTGTATGTGTGTATGTCAGTATATATGTCAGTGTGTATGTATGTATGCATATGTATGTATGCATGTCAGTATGTATGTCTGTGTATGTATGTCAGCATGTGTATGTATGTATGTATGTCAGTATGTATCTGTATGTATGTGTATGTATGTCGGTATGTATGTATGTATCTGTATGTGTGAGTGTATGTATGTCCTTTATGTGTGTGTGTGTGTGTCTGTATGTATGTTAGTATGTGTCTGTGTGTCTGTATATGTCTGTGTATCTGTTTCAGTATGTGTGTGTCAGTATGTATGCCTGAATGTGAATGTATGTATGTCTGTTTCAGTAGGTGTCTGTTAGTATGTATGTGTGTGTTAGTATGTGTTTATCTGTGTCCTATTTGTATCAGTGCGTGTGTTTGTGTCTGTGTGTGTGTATTCCTGTGGGCGGGATTTGGAGACGGATCTCCTGGGACCCA